GACGTGTCCCGCCCTGTTTCAGGAACCGCACTGAGCGAATGTGACCCCACTGCCCGCCCTCCGCCCCGCTGTGTGGGCACTGACCACGGATGTCCGGCTTTGCTAGGAGGGGATCTCCCTTTCAGGTTCCTGCTTCCTGTCTCAGCTGTCAGGAGCCTCCCCTCTGCAGACAGGCCTCAGAGTTCACAGGGCGGGTGGGAGCATGGGGTGACACTGCGGGTTTCTTTCTTTCTTTCTTGTTAATTCTCACCCAAGGATGTATTTTTTCCATTCCTTTTCAGAGGGAGGAAGGGAGGGTGGGAATGAGAGAGGAAAAAAGAGAGAAAGAGAGAGGGTGATATCAATGTGAGAGAGACACATCAACTGGTTGCCTCCCCAAAACACCCCAGGTGGGGGCGGGAGTGAACCCGTAACTCAGGGACATGCCCTGCTTGACTGAGAATTGAACCCTCCACCTTTGGGTGTGCAGTATGATGCTCTAACTACTGTGCAACACCAGCAAGCTTGTTTCTCTTGAGTTAATGAAGTATTGTCACTGAGTCATTGCTGTCCACCCCATCCATGAGGTTTTTTTTGGGAAAAACACTCGTTTTGAAGCCCAAGGAGGCCTGTTCTGCCAGAGTAGGGGCTGGCAGAGGGGTGGGTGACGGGTGAGACTGCGCCCTGGCAGGAAGGGCCCGAGCCTGTGCCTGGGAGACGGCCTGCGGATCTGGGACACAAATAACGCTCGTCCTATTTGAGGTCATCTTTCAGCACCTGGCCCTTCATTTTGCTTTCCACCTTCAGCTTCTTTTCAAAGATCGCAAATGTAAAGGCTGCAGTGCACAAGCAGGCCAGGGAATGATGAGCAGCGGGTCCCGAGAGGGTGCAGCCCGGGCTCCCAGTGCCTCCCTTTCAGTGGATGGTTACCTGCTGTGTGCGTGCGTGCGTGTGCGTGTGTGTGTGTGTGTGTGTGTGTGTGTGTGAGGGGCGGTGTGTGTGTGTGAGGGGCGGTGTGTGTGTGTGTGTGTGTGTGTGTGTGTGAGTGTGTGTATGGGTATGAAGGGCGGTGTGTGTGTGTGTGTGTGTGTGTGAGGGGCGGTGTGTGTGTGTGTGTGTGTGTGTGTGTGAGGGGCGGTGTGTGTGTGTGTGTGTGTATGTGAGGGGCGGTGTGTGTGTGTGTGTGTGAGGGGCGGTGTGTGTGTGTCTGTGAGGGGCGGTGTGTGTGTGTGTGTGTGTGTGAGGGGCGGGGTGTGTGTGTGTGTGTGTGTGTGTGTGTGTGTGTGTGACTGCAGGCATATGGTGGCCAAATGCCAAGAGCTCCCTGTTCTGAAGGCTGTGAGGACTGACTTTTCCTGACACCCGGGTCCAAGACCAGCTCCGAGCAGCCTGCCTGCGCCCTGAGCCTCGGGCGGGCTGTGGGTGTAAGGGTGGTGAACCTGCTATTTACTAAAGTCACCGCCACCTGCATTATGAGGGTCGGGGGGAGGTTTAGGGGTGCAGTCATGGCTCTAGAGCTGAGACCCTGGTGAGTGCCGTTGGGACCAGGGAGCATTGTTGTGGGGAAACAGGAGGTGGCCTTCACCTTGTGGGTGGAAGTGGGTTCTCGGGGAGCCGGAGCCGCGGTGAGAGCTCTGTCCCGCGGACTCACCCTGCAGCGAGGCCGAGCTCCCTCAGCCCGCTTCCTTTCCGGTTGCAGCCGGTCCGGTCCGTGCAGCATCAGGCTCGGCACCCACCGTCCTCCGTGCGGGGCCCACGCGGCCGGCAGGACGGGCGGATGCAGGGAGCCCACAGGCGGACTCACACACGTCCCCACCCTCTTCAAGTGATCGGATGTCCTCGCGCCCATGCTGGCACCACCCTGTCCCGGCCAGCTCCTGCCCTCTGTCCTCCAACTTTGCTAGGCACGTGTCTGTCGTCCCGCGCAGTCCCCGGGGGAGGGGCAGCGCTCGCTGGTGGAGCTGTCCCCCTGGCACCAGGATGGCAGCCCCTTTGTTCCTCCCGGCAGGCAGGAGCGGGCTAATGACAATGGACCCGCCCCGGTCAGCAGTCAGCTGTCGCTGGCGCAGGTGAGGGCTGGGGTGCCTCTTCCCCCTCCTGTGGTCGGGGTGTGTGCTGTCCCAGACACGGCTTCTGGGCTGTCCACGCTGCAGGGTGGGGCGGGGGTTCTGGGGGAGAAGAGGGTTCTTTCCTGGGCATGGAGCCATCTGGACTGACGTCACAAACCCGCGTGAAGTCATATCCTGTGTCAGAAAGGGGGTGTCCCTGATACGGAACACCTTACAGACGTGAGCCAAGTAGAGCAGCCCAGCAGCTGTGCATCAGCCGGTCCTCAGAGCTGCCCTTCCTCAGGTCTGCCCGCAGCCTAGTGTGTGTGTGGGGGGGGGGGGCTGAGGCCGGGAGTGCAGGCCGGCTTCTCAGACTATAAATGGGGGCGGGGGGGTGTGCTAGGATGTCAAGTAAGTCTTATTTGCAACATTTCCCGGGGACCTTGAAGATTACATTTAAAAAGAACAATGCCGAAGCCTCAACCACTGAAACAGATTTTGTCCAATCGAAACACACCCTTATTTTATATGCCAGCAAGCAAGCGAGAGCGGAAACAATAGCAAACACGGGAGCAGGGTGAATAACAGGGACTTTCAGGAATGCCAGGTGAGCAAACACCACTTCTTGGAATCCCAGTGCCTGTTGGAAGCTCTCCTCTGCCAGGAAGCCCCGGAGGCAGCGCCCGCTCCCGCTATTTTTCTTCTCTCTCTGCAGGGGAGCTGCCGGCTGCCAGGAATCCCGTCCTTCCTGCCCGCTCCGAGGCCCCGCGCGCTGCAGAAGGAGGGTCCGCGCAGCCCACCCCCAGCTCCGAGGTACAGAGAGCAGACAGCCTGGAGTGCTGCAGTCCCCAGTCTCCTAAAGTTTTATTATTCTACTTATTTCTGAAAAACAAGCTTTTTACATATGCATATTTAAATAACTAAAACATTTCAAATAGCATCAGAAATATGGGCTCTCCTCCATATTCGTGCCCACCTCCTCCTCGGTGGGTTTTGCAGCTGTTACTCTGACTTCCATCAAGGCTAAGGTGACCAGATGTCCCGCTTTTTAAATTTGTCCCGCGTCCCGTTTTAAAAAAACCGGGACTTTTTTAAAACGCCGCGGGACGCCGGACAAATTGTTAAAAGCGGGACTCTGGTCACCTTAATCAAGGGGTAGCTTGGATGGGGCTCAGAGGACCCAGTCAGGGCCGCCCCCAGAGGCCAATGGAAAGGGGAGGTGCGGAGAGGAGGGTCAGATCCTCCCGGCGGCCTGTAGATGGCGCCAGGGGAAAGGAACTGGGACTGGCGCGCGGGTTCCGGCGGAGGAGCGCACCTGGTGCCGCACCGAGGTGTGCTTTTCACCCCCATCCCCACCCCCATCCCTTCACCCACACTCCCCATTGCTCCCCCCCTCACTCCCCCCCACACACTCCCCATTGCCCCCCACCCCCACCCCCCACACCCACACTCCCCATTGCTCCCCACCCCACCCCACCCCACCCCAGCCCTGACGCTCCGAACGCCCAGAGGGCTGGGTGGGGCGGGTTACAGGCCGTGGGTGCCAAGGGGCCGAGCAGCGGGTGGACCCACAGGACCAGAGGGCCGGGGCCAGACCCCGCGCTCCCGGCCACTCGCCCGCACTCACCGGGCACCGCCCGCCCGCCCGCCGCGGAGGTGGACGCGTCCCCGCGGAGAGAAAGCGCGGTTCTCCTCCCGCCACCGCCACGCGCTGCGCCCACTGCGGCCGCCGCAGAGGGGCCAGGAGCGCGTGCGCCGCGGTCTGCTCGCGACCCCTTCCCCAGCACCCCGCCCCCAGCACCCAGCCCCGCGGCACCCAGCCCCCAGCCCCGCGGCACCCCGCCCCCAGCACCCAGCCCCGCGGCACCCCGCCCCCAGCACCCAGCCCCGCGGCACCCCGTCCCCAGCCCCAGGCACCCAGCCCCGCGGCACCCCGTCCCCAGCACCTAGCACCCAGCACCCAGCCCCGCGGCACCCCGTCCCCAGCACCCAGCATCCAGCCCCGCGGCACCCCGCCCCCAGCCCCCAGCCCCGCGGCACCCCGCCCCCAGCCCCCAGCCCCGCGGCACCCCGCCCCCAGCCCCCAGCCCCGCGGCACCCCGCCCCCAGCCCCAGGCACCCAGCCCCGCGGCACCCCGTCCCCAGCACCCAGCATCCAGCCCCGCGGCACCCCGCCCCCAGCCCCCAGCCCCCAGCCCCGCGGCACCCCGCCCCCAGCCCTCAGCCCCGCGGCACCAGGGCCGCCGGAGCGGCCGCACCCTCCAGGCCGGGGCTGGATGGGGTCTCCGGGTCGCCGCGCTCAGGGCGGCGGCGGGCGGCGCCGGAGCTTTGGAACCTGAGCGCCGGCGCGGGGGAGGCGGGTATTTTGAGTTTCGGCTTCAAAGTAACAGACTCGAACACTCCAGGTTAGAGTTAAGACAAAACTAGAGAGAGCAACAAAAATAAACGCAAGACAGATCCTGTGGGTTCTCCAAAGGTGCATTTCAAGACTGCGGAGTCCCCCTCGCAGACGGGGTTTAGATATAACTTTTCCTTTTAAGGACTGAAAAGCCGGTGAGGCCCGCAGGCGCGGTCTGCCTGGCAACAGCCGCGGCAGCGGACCCGCGGCTGCTCCCCCCGCGGCCCCCGCGGCGTCTGGCACGAGCCGCGCCGCCTCATTTACATCAGAAAGCGGCGCCGACCAATGGGCTCGCAGCCCCACCGCCGCCTCATTTGCATCAGAAAGCGGCGCCGACCAATGGGCGCGCAGCTCCGCGCCAGCTGGCGGCGCCGGGGCCTTTAAAAGCGCGCGCCGCGGCTGCCAACGGACTCGCTCGCGCGCCAGCGGGCTGCCCAGTTTCCTCCGCTCTGTGCGTCCCCGCGCCGCCTCTCCGCGTGGCTATTGCCGCTCCGTGCACCCACCTCCGCTCCCTCCGCTCCGTGCGCCGCCTCTCCGCGTGGACACTGCCGCTCCCCGCCGCCCCGCTCCGCACCATGACTCTGGAGGAGACCCGCGGCCAGGACACGGTTCCTGAAAGCACAGCCAGGTAAGTGGGCGCCGATGCCGGGCGTCTGTGAGCGCGGGAGCCTCGTCCCGCCCGCCTTGGCCGCCGCTGGCCGGGGAGCCGGGGAACCCGGGGCCGGGGAGCCGCTGGCCGGGGAGCCCGGGGCTGGGGAGCCACTGGCCGGGGAGCCGGGGAGCCGGGGAACCCGGGAACCCGGGGAGCCGGGGAGCCGCTGGCCAGGGAGCCGGGGAGCCCGGGGCAGGGGAGCCGCTGGCCGGGGAGCCGGGGAGCCCGGGGCCGGGGAGCCGCTGGCCGGGGCGCCGGGCCGGTACGTCGCGGACTCTCGGTGCGTCCCGCGCTCACGGCCCCGCTCTTCCAGGATGCAGGGCGCCGGGAAGGCGCTGCACGAGCTGCTGCTGTCGGCGCAGCGCCAGGGCTGCCTCACCGCCGGCGTGTACGAGTCCGCCAAGGTCCTCAACGTGTGAGTGCGCGGGGCCGGGCGGGCAGCGGGCGGCGCAGGCTGGGAGCGGGCGGCGGCGGGGAGACGCGGGGACCCCGGGCTCTGCCCTGACCGCACCGCCCTCCTTCCCCGACCAGCGACCCCGACAACGTGACCTTCTGCGTGCTGGCCGCGGACGCGGAAGATGAGGGCGACGTGGCGCTGCAGATCCACTTCACGCTGATCCAGGCCTTCTGCTGCGAGAACCACATCGACATCGTGCGCGTGGGCGACCTGCAGCGCCTGGCGGCCATCGTGGGCGGCGAGGCGGGCACGCCCGGGGACCTGCACTGCATCCTTATCTCTGTGAGTGTCTCCCGGCTCCCGCTCCCCCATCCCCGGGCTCCCCATCCCCGGGCTCCCCCGCCCCGGGCTCCCCCGCCCCGGGCTCCCCCATCCCCGGGCTCCCCCGCCCCGGGCTCCCCATCCCCGGGCTCCCCATCCCCGGGCTCCCCATCCCCGGGCTCCCCCGCCCCGGGCTCCCCCATCCCTGGGCTCCCCCGCCCCGGGCTGATTGTGCGCGCGCTCCCCCCGCAGAACCCGCATGAGGACGCGTGGAAGGACCCCGCGCTGGAGAAGCTCAGCCTGTTCTGCGAGGAGAGCCGCGGCGTGAACGACTGGGTGCCCAGCGTCACCCTCCCGGAGTGAGCGCCCGCGGCGCGGTCTGATCGATGCGGAGGCGCCCTCGGAGGGCGGAGGGCCCGGAGTGAGGGCAGCGTGGAGACCGGCCCGGGGCCTGGAGAGCCAGAGGCGGCGGCGCCCTCCGGAGGGCCCGCAGGCGGCGGGCGGCCTGGCCCGGAGCCCGGAGCCCGGGACAGTACAAGAGCGGGAGCTGCGCCCCGGAGGCCGGAGGCGGACTTGGCTGGAGCTGGAAGGACGGACCAGCCGGGCGGTGACTCAGCAGCCCGCGCCGGGCAGGAAGCGGGGGAGAGGCAGGCCAGGGGCCTGGACTGCACAGCCACCGGAGGCTGGCCGGCCCAGCAGTCTGCGCCGCTGCTTCCAAAGGGACCGGTGCTTCGTTTTATAAAGGATTATGCTGCTGCAGCTGTGACTGTTGCAATAAACTCCCTGAAACACAGCACTCTCTTTATTGAGGGCGGGTCCCTCCTGAGGGGAGATGGTCTGCAGGTGCAGATACTGCACAGCTCACGGAGCTGGAGGCACCTGTTCCCGCCCCTCCTGGTCTGAGGTACAGGCCCCCCAGGGAGCGGGAGGTGGAGGAGGGGAGGCTGCCCAGAGTTAGGGCAGGACGTGAGACCAGCTCCCGTTTTTCTCCTTTTAGGAAGATTTTTAAATGTGCAAGATGGGAGCATGCTTGAGATAAGACATCAGTGGCACAGCTAAAAGCTGGCTATCCAAGCTGATAACGGCAGCCTCCTGTCCCCTCCCCGTACCCCTCCCCCTCTTCCCTTAGACAGCTGCTTATCTGAACAGCTTGGAGGGCAGGCAGCCTTCTCACACAATGAGCTTTGCCTTGTGCCCAGAAGCAGCCCTTTGTGGTCCCTAAGGCTGGCGGCAGACAGCTGTCAGGAACCTTTCCTCTTAAAGGCATGGCCTGCAGTGTCACCACGGTATTAGCTCTCAGTGTGACAGGGAGGCTGCATGTAAGCATGAGTCATCGTTTTGTCATGGCTGCTACAGAAAAAAGATCTGAGCAAAGCGGGAAGGCATCGTCTGCACAAGTAGGTGTGAACAAGTCTCCTCTGCCGTCTACTATTTCGGGGCGCTCTGCCCACCTGGAGGACTGCTGCGGCCCAGTGCCACGGGAGACGTGGAGGAAAGGATTTAAATCTTTCAGCAAAGCCCTACTTCAGGAGGACCCGGGGGAATGTCCCAAGTGACCCTGTCTTTCTAGACATGTGGGCTGGCGGCCTCTGCCTGACAGCGTACTGGCCACAGGCTGCCGGGGCCCCGAGCCCCCGGGTGGGGGTGGGGTGGGGGTGCAGGTGCTGCTTTTCTAAGAAGGAGAGCTCACGGCGTAGAGCAGGTCCAGGTGGCAGTTTTGCCTTGTTGGGTTCTGCTTTTTACATTTTCTCCAAATCATGGGAGCATTCGTAGTGCAACAGGCCTATACGAGTGTTTCTTCCCGGAATGAAAGCAGCATGTCTCACATCAGCTCTTAAAAACGTTTCTCCTGTAAGACAACGGCCAGTGGACAGCTCCTCTGGGTTTCCCTGGCTGCGGCAGACCTTTGAGGTGGCCGTGCCCTCAGTGAGCTGTAGCAGACACCTGTGGGCATCAGGCCTTCATGTGGCCCCTCCCGCGAGTGTATTTAAGCAGGAGATTGCCCTGAGCAGGCGGGCAGATTTTCCCGCCTGCTGAGCCACCCTAGTTCAGTGGGTAACCCTTAAGAAACAGCTTCAGCCCTCACCAGTTTGGCTCAGTAGATAGAGTGTCTCAAGGGTCCCTGGTTCAATTCTGGTCAGGGGCATGTACCTTGGTTGCAGGCACATTCCCAGTAGGAGGTGTGCAGGAGGCAGCTGATGGATATTTCTCGCTCATCGATGTTCCTAACTCTCCCTCTCCCTTTCTGTAAAAAATCAATTAAAAAAATATATATATAAAGGAAACGACTTCACAGATTAGAATTTATAGCAAGGCCACCCCATGGGGCCCCAGGGCTAGGAGAATGAGGGGAAAGTGGGTGCTGGGACACTGCCAGCCCCAAAGTTTGCGCTTCAGTGTTCTGTATGAATGGGTGTTGGATGCTATTGAAATGAATACCTCAGGAGGACATGTACAAAAATGTACGGTGCTCACAAATACATCACTGCATTCATACTTTGACAACCTGAAGTATGGCACACATAAGCTGATTATCACATACATATTGAGTCGAGCCTCTGGCCTGCTGGGCACAGTCCGCTGTGTCTAGAAAATGCCGAACTAACGTTAATGCCTACGATACTTAACAGTGACTGGCAGCGGCTGCTGAGGGTCACAGACCCAAAGCAGATGCGCGTTGAGATGCTGTCCGGTCCCAGGGCCCAGCATTTCCCCAGCTGCCACACCTCCCAGTGCCAGCCGCTGGCATCGGAGGGAAGGCTACCTTCTAAGATAACTAAGTTTATCCAAGTTTTATGCCTTCATTGCAGGCATGCCTCTGTTCGTATCCATTTATTCATTCACTTTGTGAAACGAGGGAAAGAGGCTGGCACATTCTGGTGTCTCCCTCTCTCCTCCTTTTCCCTGGGGGCACACACTTAAACACATGCAACGCCGTCACACACAGCTCCCAGGCCCTCATGCCTCATGGGGGGTGACCCCAAAGGACCAAAGGGAATGTCCTTTGCCAGCCGCAGGGAGACCTGCTTGCTTAAGTGAGCAGTGCAGCACGCCCGGTGCAGCCGAGGGCGTGGAGGCAGGTAGAGCTGGCAGGCGGGATGCCCACTGCCCTCACCCGCCTTCCATGCCTGTGCTTGGACAGAGGAGTCCTGGTCTTTGGAAGGAGCCCGTTTTTTTAGTCTAGGTCAAGCTTTCCTTTAACTGATAGAAAAGGAATGCTGGACAGTTTACTTCTCTTGGCCAGTGGAGAGTGCGTGTAAACAGCGCCGAGGCCGCTCTCCAGGCACGGGGAGGCCACGGCACCTGCGCCTGAGGGCGAGGGCTGCCGGCTGCGGCTAGATCCGGAGCAAGTGGCTGCTGGGAGCGGCTGGAAACACCCAGCGATGCAGGATCCCACCCTCAGCAGCAAAGGTCTCAGCCCGAGTGAGCTGGGCTGGGGAGGAAGGCACTGCCCTGGGGTGGGATAGGTGGATGGTTCGTTTGTTTGTTCATTCTTTCACTCATTCATTCCTTCACTCATCTCCTCATTGCTGCTTTCACGTTCCATGGACATTTTCTGTTCGGCATTTCCCAGGAGGGGCTCAGCAGAGGAGGAGCCGGGGGTCTGGCATGCTGTGCGGGCAGGGCTGCAGCCGCCCGCAGCACTCACCCAGGGAAGGGCGATGGGGGCACAGCAGCACCGTTCCCCTTGCGGGTAGATGATGTGATGAGAACCACAGACCACCTAACCATACGTCACACCGGCAGCGCAGCCCGTGTGTGGCATTCTCACTCCACCTCCCCTTCTCCTATCTGTTTCTTTCTTCTGGTGTCTCTCCGGTCCACCTTCTCCGGCTGTGACCACCTGCTTCTTCCCAAACACATGTAGTGACCTCCCACTTCACACCAGGATACCCCCCACCCCCCGTCTCATTCCTTTGCTCCCCTTGCCCTTCTCTCCTTTCTTCTTTCCTCCTGGTTTTCCTCTCTCCTTTTTCTTTCCTTCCGCCCCAAATTATTGAGCTCCTGCCTGCCCAGGCCCTGACGGCATGCCATGCTCTCCCTGTGCTGTGACAGCTCCCTAGCCTGGCATCTGGCTCTCTCCCCCCTCAGCTCTCCCACCCTGTTCAATCCCGGTCACCCAAGCCCATCCTCTGCCCCCTCCCCGCCCACTGCTCAGGCCCTGACCTCTTGGAGGTTAAGCCTGAAGTGCACGCGCCCTGGGCCAGAGCCCAGTGGAAGCGTGTCCTGCGTCCTTCTAGGAGTCAGGGTCCTTGCTCTGAAGTGGGCTTGACACACAGGGCAGGGCTGTGGGCACCAGGCAGGGAGCCTTGCCTGCCTGGTGTGTCTCCACCTTAGGCAAATGTGGGGTCCACAGTTAGGTCTCCCGGACACTCTCAGGGCCCCATCAGCCTCCGTGACTCCTGCTTTCCTTCCTTTCTTCTGTCTAGTCCACCTGCCACCTCCTGCCTGGGCCATGCTATCGGGCCCTCTCCCAGGTGTAAGAATGCTGGTCTAGGGCCTGGTCCAAGGAGATCCTGGAGAGGTGGGAAGGATGCCAGAGTCTGGCCTTGACCCCAGCAGACCACTCTTCCTCTGTTTCCTCTTCCTTCTTCCTGCCTTTGCCTGAGCCCCAGAGCATGACGGACAGAGCCTGGCACTGATAGCCTGGTCACCTTAGGGGGAGGGAGCGAGTGCCCAGGGCTGCAGGGCTCACAGGCCAGGCGGTGGAGTCTCCACTCCCCTTGTTGCCGGCAGGGGACCTGGCTGCCAGCCTGTGGTGGTGGGCCCCAGCCTTCGTGCAGGGAAGACTTCACAGTCTGAGTCCAGGGGCTTTTTTTTTTTTTTTTTTTTTTTTTTTTTTTTTAATGTTAATTCTTGTCAATTTTATTTGGTTGGTTTTGGCCTGTGATTCATGCTATCCTGCCTATACAATAATGCATTCTAACTTATTAGAATGCATTATTGTATAATTTATTAATAAGGAGACTCTCATTGAAGCAAGCATGAATAACATTTCTGCAGAATACATTAAAATGCCAATGTTAAACTATTCTGATCATAATATTTTCTATTTTTTTAAATCAATCTTTATTATTCATATTATTACAAAGGTTCCTCATTTCTTCCCCCCTCCACCAGGTTCCCACCCCACCCTCTGCCCTTTCCCCACCCCCCATTGTCCTCATCCATAGGTGCACAGTTTATATTCAGTCTCTTCCTGCATCCACCACTCCCCCTTTCCCCGAGAACTGTCAGTCCACTCCCCTCCCATATCTCTGACTCTACTACAATCAACAGCTAATATTGTTCATCAGGTTTTTTAATTTCCTTTTTTAAAAAATTAAACTTTTATATTTTTAAGAATAAATTTTAAAATCTAA